TATAGTTAACAAAATAATTTACATCACTATTTTCGGAGTCAACTATATAAGTAATGGTATATGTATGTATCATTCAATAACTAATCTAAACATAGAAAATAAATGATGCTATTCACCTCTTTTTTTTTGTAGTCGCCTAGTCGGATTAGATGTCTAAGGGACTAGATGACTAATTATTATTATTGTTAAAAGAATTTGTACCATTTTTCCTAACCGGTGCCGAATTTTCAGATTAACCGATCAAACATGATGTTTCCTAAAAACACAGATTATAATGCGTACCTGAAGAGGAGTTAAGTCCTTTTGGAGGTAATCAAGAGGAGTCCAAAGAGAGAGCTTGGAACAAGTGAGTGAGCCCAAGAGACAAGTCTTTATAGTCAACCAATAATTAGCATTCACAACCCTTGTCTTAAGCCAAGGATGATAGTTTTCAAGCTTAAACTCTTTATAAACCCTACCAGTCACACCAACACCACCACCATGGCTAGTCACAATGAACCCAAACAGGGTCAAACCCATGAGCGCGACTATGATGATGACCATGAAGAAAAGATACACCCATAAGACCCAAGCCACGTCACAACATGCACCGACCAGACCAGCTAGTGACACGACCATGATCGCTAGGCCTAAGAACAGAAGTGGCTTCTGAAGAAAATGCTCGCACGTTGTCTTGCTCTTACCCATCCATAGAGCCGATCCTATTAGTACTATGGAGGAGATTAGTGTTAGGATGTTCAAAAATCCTAGCACTGTATTGCTCATTCTGTTCATTTTCACTTTTGTGAGATTTTATTCTTTGGAATGAATGATTCTCCGAATCTTTTATGTGTTTGTGTGTGAGAGAGAGTGTTGGTGCTATATTTTGTAGTTGGATTGTTTTTTCTCTCTATTATATCTTAATCAAATATGCGTCGGCTACTTTATAGTACTTGAGAGTTTTATACTTACATTAATAGAAACACAATGTTGTTGATATACATTCACACGTATGATTGATTAAGGAAAAAAAAACTTAGAGAAAACAAAAGAAAAAAGTTGATGGAATTATTCTCTTATCTTTTTATATAATTTCTTTGGTGTTTCCTACTTTTGATGTGATAATGTATGCGTCTTCACTTGCTTTAATGTCATCGCTTTTGAATTTTGATGAGTGACTTTACCTTTTTTCTCAAATTTTATATTTAAGAATCATGAATTATTTTATTTTATAATTTTGTAGATTTTGGATCTTTGAAGCTTTATATCATATCGATTCAAAATGATGGCTGAGATTCATTTTCGTAAATTTGGGCTTTATGTTTTTTTGGTTGAAACTTGGCTATTAAGAAACCTCTTTCATCTGGTTCTATTATCGATAAAAAAGGAGTCCATACTTCACAAAAGTGGAATGTATCATAACCCAAACTTCTTAACTATTAAGTAACTTTTCCCTCCCAACATTTTCATTATTTTTAGTTCATGGATTAATCTGCTTTTTTTGGGCATTAGTTTATAGATTAATCTAAAGAGACCACAATAAAAATTTAAAAACATTGAGCACTTAAAGATGAAACTCCAACAAAATATTAAGGCCCCGAATGTTTGCG